TGGTCGGGGATCCTTTCCTTTTGAAGGTAAGACGTTAGATGTTCCGCAAGTATCTCGTGTAGGCGACGTCGTCCAGCAAGTAAGAGGTCGGCCGAAACGTGGTCCGGTCCCGGAGTCGTGGCTGCCTTCATGGTCGTAATTGCGGCGCGTACTTCAGCAGGTAGAATCCGTGGTGGTATTTCCTCAGTAGCAATAACGGGGGTTGACACGGGTGTTGATGAGCGGAAGAGATTGGCGCAGAATCTCATCGTGATCGAATCCATCTCTTGTCGGGAAGAGTGCGAGTCCCGTCTTCGTTTAGTAGTGCTGTCAGCGGAACGCGGTAGTCGAGAAGGTCCCTGCGGTACTTCTTTAGACTTCTCCTTCCTTGCGTTGCTTCCAAAAGTTTCGACTGCCTGTACTTTCGGAGATCTTCTTGCAAAGCTGTTCTGCAACGGTATTGGCTACCAGTCTCGAGATGTGATGCAGTCGGATCCAGCCTCAATGCTCTCCTCCTCTCTAGCAGATCCTTGGTGGCTTTCGAAAGTCGTTCCAAGTTCCTTGTTCGAGGCATTGAGGCACTTTCACCACAGGCTTTTAGTCCTCTGACAAGTAGATCGTAGTCCTTCGTTGGGTCCTCCTCGATGGGCCTGTCACAAGTGGTCAGGAGCTCCTCCAATCTGACGTCGTCATATACGACTTCTCTCCTTCCTCCAACACGGTGGCAGATTTTCTTTCCCAGCTTCCGGCTCAATCGCACTTTTGCTCTAAGGAGGCGGTGGTCTGAACCACTACTGAAGGATGTTACCACTGAGACGTCCAGTAAGCACCACTTTTGGTTGGTGAGAATGTGGTCGATCTCCGCATGAGTCGTACCGTTGGGTGATTCCCACGTCGTCCACCGCCGGTGTTCTTTCTTCATAAAGATGGAGTTGCCATAAAAGTCGTGCTGCGGATAAGAGCCCAACAAGACGGTTGCCGTTCTCATTCTGGAGTCCTGTTTCAAATCTCCCGATCCTATGCTGCCCTTCTTCTGACATCCCGACTTTCGCCTTGAAGTCACTCAGGACGAATTTGTAGAGGAACTTCTCTTTGCGGATGACTTTCTCCAAATCCTCAGAAGAAGCATCGAGTTCAGAGTCATCAGCTGCTGATGTTGGAGAGTAGCAGTTGATGATATTAATGGCTTTCTGATGCAGAAGACGGAGTCGAAGTATAGCCAGGCGAGGTGATAGGATCTCACGCGAATTGACAAGATGGACAACAGATGGGTGTACGACAAATCCAACGCCTTCAATGCTCCGTGATGGAACCTTTTCACCACGAATGATGAGTGTGCCATCGCTCAGCTGCCTCACGTCCGTCTTTCTGGACTTCGTTTCCTGCAAGGCGATTACGTGGTAGTTGATGCGCCCTGCAGCTTCGAGAAGCGCGTGAAGATCGGCGGCGTTGGTGGAGACTGTCCTGGCGTTGTAGGTGCAGAGCATAAGGCAACCTCCATGGCGAGTCGTTGACGTGTCCTTTTGGTTCGAAATCCATGGCGTCCTGTGCAATCTGACACTGTTCTCTTGATGATATCCGACGCCGTAGATGTGATCCAGTGTGCAGGGCTTCTTTTCTTATTACATGCTGTTCGGAAAGTGAACAGTCTCCCCAAACATTAGCAGTGCCTTGCCAGAGCCCCGCCAAGCTTTTACCACAGGCAGTCGCTGACCTTCAGGGAGACATTTGCCACCGGCGACTGAATCAGCCAGACGGTGGTGCTTCTAGCATGGCCTACACTTAGCTGGGCATCCGGGGAACCGGAAACGTCGAACTCCTTCTTAGCTTGGGAGATCCCGCTGGAGGATAAACCTCCGTTGTACTTCGCACTTCG